CCTGCCTTGAGCTGCGCTTCACGGTCCCCTTGGATCAAGCCCGGGTAGTAATGGTCTCTTAGCATGTGAAGAGTCCGTGTTTAATGCAGAACTTAGCGGGTCGTGTCCTAAGCGCTGTGTAAGCACTTGATCAATGATTTCTGACCTTATTATTGGGCTTTTCATGTGCAGTGTCTTCCCTCAGCTCCCACGGAACCCTACAACCCTGTGACGTGGGGAGAATGATACCCATGCGTACCAGTGAGGAGCCTGAGGCTGAAGGCGCTGAACGGCTTATCGGAAACCATCAGCTAATAAAAGGCCAAGCCAGGGTTAAAACTCAGCTTGATTTCCAAATCGAGGGCCTTGGCCCCCTCACCTCAAACTACAGCACTCACCCCATGGTCTTGGAGTGTGCTTGCGTGTGCGTGCGTGTTAAAGCCCAGATGTGGTTCGTGCGGCATCTCCTCGGGCTTGGCTCTGTGCCCTCCCCCCGAGCCTCCCAGGCGCCCTCCGTGGCTGTTTCTCTCAGCGGGTCCTGGTCGGGAGCTGCCGGGTGCCAGGCAGGCGCGGGCACATGCCTCTCCTGGTCTCCCGGGGACCTGGAGCACATCGGGTCAGGCACTCAGCCCTGACCCGTGACCCCTGATGTGGTCGTGCATTCCGCCCCAGACTGAGTCCTTGGGGCTGGGACCGGGGACCACTGGGTTGGTTTCAGACAAGTAAAATGCATTTTAGTAAAATCTTAGTAAGTAAAAATCCCCTCTAGAGGTTTTTGGTATTCAGGATTATCCTTTAGTCTCTTTCCTATAAGTACACATTACCTATCTTACAAAAAGTGAAATCACACTGTTATGTACTATCTGTAACCTGATTTTTCCACCCAGTTTTTTGCGACCACCTTTCTATGTGCTTAAACACTCTTCTGTAACCTCAAGTCTAGTGTATTCCGAGAGCTGAAGAAAGACTGTCCAGTGCTGAGCCCAGAGCTTTGCCGTCAGCATTTGAGGCGTGAGCAAAGGAATGAAGGCACACAGGTGGTGCTCAAAAGCCGAATCGTCTGGTTGACCCCCAGCGCCCTCAGCAGTGGTTACGAATGTAGAGCGATGTGTTCCGGAACGCTCCAGGGGAACGCTCCCGAGGACCCTCTGTTTCCCTACACACCTGTGAACCGTTCGGAGATTCCGTGTCGAGGGAGCACGGCGAGGTGGGGTGTGGCAGACGGGAGGCGCACACGCATGTCCCACGCCCATCATCAGAGTGTAGCTCAACCCCAGGACCACAGGACCGCCCTGCTCGAGACATCCTCGCATCCCGACCGCCCCCACTCACCGCCTGCCTCCCGAAGGCAACGGGCCCGGGCCTTGCGAGGACAGAGGCGTCTTGTGTCTGCAAAGCTCGCCTCAGCCCCTCCCGCCAGCGTGTGTGGGCCGTTGTGGGCATGCGGACCTCGCGCTGTGCGGCCACTCGCAGGCCGCTGTGGGCAGAGGCGACTCCTTTACGTTCGTCTGTTGACGGGCGTCTGAGCCACGTCCGGTCTCTGGCCGTTGCTGATCATGCCACCGTGAGGATTTTGAGGCACGTGGACACACGTCTGCATCTCTGTCGCGAGTTTCCTGTGCTCACCTGGACCACGGGGAGACGGGTACTAGTGGGGAAATCCGTGGCCTGGTGTGTGAGGGCCCTGGTCGGCTTCCACACGATTTGGGGGCTGCGGCATCTCCTTGGGCTTGGCTCTGTGCCCTCCCCCCGAGCCGTGAAGTCGAGTACCTTCCCATCTACTTCCCGGCAGCTTGGGTCTCCTCCCTTAAGAAGTGTCCGTTGGTCCTTGCCCGTCTTTCTGTCCCACGAGCGCAAGCTCGTCCTCCATGCCGGTTTGCGGTTTTCGGCGTGCAGGTCGTGCACATCGTTGCCCTTACATTTATTCTTGGGTACTTGTCGCTCTGTCACTGGGAGAAATGATTACAAGGGCAGGCATTTCTCCGGAACTGGTGTTGGTGGGAACTGTGGGTGTTTGCAAAGCCCTTGCGGCAAGGCAAGGTGTCAAGTGAAATTATAACAGTCTGGGGGCAGAAGCACATTTCCTCGACCAGGAGAAACAGCCACCACGATCCGTGTGCATGCAGCCACGAGGACGCTGTCGCCGCCCCACTCTGGACCCTCCGCGCCCCTTTCCCAGCTGCTTGCGTGCCCCGGGCTCTGCTGCGACCTGTGAGTGCCGAGAAGCGCCTTGTGCAGGGGAGCAGGGGGTGGGGAGGGACCGTGAGCCTTAGAGACCCCTGCCCAGTGGGTGGTGTGGGACGACACCTGCCAGGAGGTGGGACACACCACGGGGGACATCTTATCCATTGTTTCAATGTTCTAAAAATCATGGTAAAATACATGTAACAAAATGTAACATTTTAGCCACTTTTTAGGTGCCCAGCTCAGTAGCATCCGATGTGTTCACACAGGGGTGCCACCATCACGACCGTCGCTCTCCAGACGTCTCCATCCTCTGAAGCAGAAACTGTCCCCGTTTAAGCAGTGCCCCTCCCTGGCACCTGGTCCCCTCTGCTCTACTTTTGGCTTATTGAATCCAGCTCGCCTCGGGGGCCTCACACGCGTGGAGCCGCGCAGGGCTGGTCCTTCTGTGGCCGACATGGTTCGGCAGGCATGATGCCTTTCGGGCTCACCCCTTTGGGGCAAGTATCAGAATATCATTGTTACTTATTTCATTCCTTCTTGTGACTAAATCACATTCCATTGTGTGGATACCGCATTCCGTCTCTCCGTCCATCTGCTGACGGACACTTGGGAGCCTCCGCGCTCGGCTGTTGTGGATGGTGCTGCAGTGACCATGGGGGGTGCCTGCCCCCGACAGCCTGCCATCGCTCCTGTGGGTGTCTCCTCAGCGATGGAAGAGCAGAGTCGTATGTCTGCGGTATTACCGTAAGTTCCTCGCTCCCCTCCCCGCCCTGGCTCAGCCTGACCCTGGGCTTCACCTGAAATGTCACCTGGCCTGGCTACTTTCCCTCTGTCTCCTAAGAGCATCTCCCCACTAGAATCCTTGGCTCAGGGTCGGCTTCCGAGGGTGCCTGAGCTGAGACACCCCTGAGGAGTGGTGTGGTCTCCCATGAAGACAAGGGTGGATGGGACGCCTGGGGGGCTCGGTGGGTTGGGCATCTGCCTTCGGCTCAGGTCATGATCCCAGGGTCCCGGGGTCGAGTCCCGAGTTGGGCTCTCTGCTCAGTGGGAAGACAGCTTCTCCCTCTCCCTCTGCCACTCCCCCCACTCAAGCTCTCTCTCTTTCTCTCTGTCAAATAAATAGATAAAAATCTTTAAAAACAAAAACAAAAAACAAGACAAGGTTGGAGCTGCTCTAGTGGACGAATGAGATTGATCTGTAACTTGGTGATGCCCTCCTCTTCTCCTGTCTCCTGTTTCTAACAAGGTCTGTACTCTGAAGAAAAAACAGAAACCCTGGGTACTTTGGCACAGTGAATCAAATCCAGGGACCTTTTGAGCAGGACCATCCAGGAGCAAAATTTCATTGGTTCCGAATTCTAATCATTTTCTTTCTGATGAGCAGTCTCCCACATTATGGTCACTGTGCTCCCTGGCACATTGCTCTTCCCCTCGGTGCTTGCCTCTTACAAACTACCAACAGCCTTGTTTGAAGAACGTCTCCAAGGACCAGCAAGCGGTGGTTTAAAGCTCATCAGAACAGCTGCCCCCACCAAGTTCCCTCCCTCTCCTCTTATCTCTCCCCCAGAAAGGCCGCACTCCCTTTTTCCATTCTTGACAATCTAGATTATTATTATATTACCAGCAGCCACAGAGCTACTCACCCAAGAGTCACACGTCCCCTGGGATGAGAGAGCTGGGGTCAGGGGGCATGAGCCAACACTCAGACTATGTCCTGTGTGTCTGGCTGCATTCTAAGAGCTTTGCAAATATTAATTCCATCATCATCATGACAAGAGGAAGCAGGTATCATTATTATTTTTATCCCATTTGACAAATGAAGCGAGAGGTTCAGTAGCTTGCCCAAGGGCACAGGGTTCTTAGGCCGCCCTGCTCGCACCGCAGCAGCCCTGGGCGTCCCCACACCACCCTTTGCCCATTCTGCTCCTCCCCAGCCCGGCCTCACACTGCCGTCTCTGGCTTTGGCGCCACGATTCTCTGTATGCGTTTGAAGTTCAGCGGGATGGGTCCATATTCTCTGCCATAAAACACCCAAGCGTAATGGCTAAGACAAATGGAGAGGAGAACCTGGCACTAGTCAATGTAAGTTAGAATTGGACGTAAAAATACACAATCGGCTCTTACGGAGAATACTACTAGATTTAGATTCTGCTGTTTTTTCCTCTTTTGTATTGAAATCAGGGAATTTGATGTCAATTGGATTTGAACATTAAACATACTGTATTTGCCATACAATTCTGAAACCCATGGGCACCTGTTTCTTTCTCAGGAGGCCAGTTAAGCTCAGCCACGTGGAGATGTGCTTGGTGGCAGTGTGGGAAATGTGCAGAAGTCACTGGGCCGATAGCCGGATTCACGGGGCCTTCGCTTAGAAAGCAGTCTCGGTTCTGCACATGTGTGCACGTCCAGCACTACTCGCTGCCAGGCGGGCGCGTGGGGCTGCAGAGGCTGAGGCTCAGAGACACTTCAACATTTGCTGTTTCGCACGGTTGCACTGGACCAGGCCGGAGACATCACTTATCTTTTGAGAATTCAACCCTAATTAGCATGATTAATGGTATCAGAAATTCTTTCACTTAAGGAAAGCTGACAACCAGAAAAACAAATCAGGCTTGGATTCTGTGGTGTTGTATCTTTGTTTGCCGGTTTATGAATTAATGCAATTCACTCCAAAGGCTATTTCCATGTTAGGTTCGCATAACTCGACAAACCGTCTCAAGAGGAAACCATACAGCGTGAAACTCACCACCGAGTGATATATACACCAAGAAATTAGCGTCGTACCATAAAATGACATACTGAGTTCAACATTCAATGGAGCACGTCGTACATACCTGTTATCAGTGTGTCTCTTGGAATGTCTTCCATGATGCATTTCTCCTCTCGTTCCCCTACATGGAAATAAAAAGCAGTTGAAAGTGAAAAATGAAAACTTAAGACAAATGTTAACGTTTGCATCTCTGCTGCTTTAGCCACTCCTCATAGCACTTTCCTCGAAATGGATCAATTACAAGTGGTACTGCCCATGGAGTGCTTGCAGCTCATTGGATAATTCTGCAAATTGATTTCTGTGAGAAGGGCCATATGGTGGCAACACATAGGCAGGTGACTGCCGCAAATCCCAGGGAACAAGATAAAAAGGTGTCTGAACCTTGGGGCCTTTCCAAGCGCAGTGACGTCAAAGTTTCTTCTGATCTCTTATTTTTTAAGGATTTTGAAGAGAAGCCCTAAGTACCGAGCCCAGCATGTGCCCAGCACCGGCCCGCGCTGTGCCATCCTGACCCAACCAAGTTGGCCATTCTGTGGTTGTTTCTACTCTTTGGCAGGAGGTGAGGGAGGAGGAAGTGAGCATCGGGCCAGGGGGTGAGAACCAAGGACAAGGGTGCAGGGGAGGGGAGGTCAGTGTGGACTAGGAAGAGGTGGGAGCCCCAGTTTAACAGAGGCCTCACCACAGATGAGACTCTAAGTCTGTTTTCTTGCAAAAAGGAGGAAGTTGAAATCACCAAGTGTGGTCCCATAGGTCCTTCCAGCTCTGTCATACAATGATTTCTTTTTAAACCTTTTATTTTGAAATATTTATAGACTCAGAAAAAGTTGCAAAAATAGTAGAGAGTTCCCCTGTACCCATCACCCAGCTCCCCACCCCCTTGGTGACGCCTTACGGAGCTCAGGGGGTAGTAACTGCATCCTGGAAACTGGGAATTTGACATGTCAAGAGCACAGGGAACTGGACCACAGAGCTCACATGGATTTCACACTCTTTCTTTAAAAATATGGGTGCACTGTCAAGTGGATGCTTCAGCAAGTAATTATGAACACTCTTGAGACAAGCGGGGAAATGGAGAAATACAGCATCATGGTTTGGGGTAAAAAATTGGCATTCTATGCCCTGGGATGTTTCACTGAACTGTATTTTATTTTTTTTACTTTCATTTTTACTTTTTACAGGAGCCCGAAGCATATTAAATTAAAGAAATCTGTGTGTAATGTGAGTAACTCAGTTTGTTGAGCATCTGACTCTTGATCTCAGCTCAGGTCTTGATCTCAGGGTTGTGAGTTCAAGCCCCACCTTGGGCTCTGCGCTGGGCATGGAGCCTACTTAAAAAAAGGCAAAAAATAAAAAACAAAAATAAATTTTAAAAAATTAAAGAAATGTGATGCGAAAACGGAAGGCAGTGGGTGGCCAAATGGGTGGGGAAGATACTTTGGAATAGGAGAGACTTTCTTATTCGATTATGGGTAGGAGTGACTTTGGCATGTGGAAGGGTCATTTCTTGAAATACTTCTCCTTTTTATTTTTTAGTCACCTTTGAGTTCTTAGTGTTAGCATCCTGATTCTGAGTGTTTCTAGCAATTTTTAGAATTTATTGAAAAAACAGCATTTCTATTAAAAGTCTATGTTCAGCCTCAGAGATATCTTTCCATTGTTTCTTCCTGTAACACCATCTTTTTTCATTTTGTTTCATTTTTATTTTTTCATCACAAGTGCCCTCCTTAATCCCCACTACCTATTTCCCCCATGCCCCCCACCAACCTCCACTATGGTGACCGTCAGTGTGTTCTCTATAGTTAAAAGTCTGTTTCTTGGTTTGTCACTCTCTTTTTTTTCCCTTTTGCTTATTTGTTTGGTTTCTTAAATTCCACATATGCATGAAATCATATGATATTTGTCTTTCTCTGGCTGACTTATTTCACTTAGCATCATTACTCTCTAGCTCCATCCGTGTTGCTGCAAATGGCAAGATTTCATTCTTTTTATGGTTGAATAATATTCCATTGTGTATGTGTGTGTATATATATATACACATATATCACATCTTCTTTATCCATTCATGAGTTGATGAACACTTGGACTAATTCCATATCTTGGCTATTGTTAATAATGCTGCTATAAACGTTGGGATGCACGTATCCCTTGGAATGAGTGTTTTTGTATTCTTTGGGGTAAATACCCAGTAGGGCAATTGCTGGATTTCCAACTTTTTGAGGAACCTCCATACAGTTTTCCAGAGTGGCTGCACCAGCTTGCATTCCCACCAACAGTGCAGGAGGGTTCCCCTTTCTCCGCATCCCCGCCAACATCTGTCGTTTCCTGACTTGTTAACCTTAGCCATTCTGACCGGTGTGAGGTGGTATCTCATTGTGGTTTTGATTCGCATTTCCCTGATGATGGCTGATGTTGAGCATCTTTTCATGTGTCTGTTGGCCTTCTGGTTATCTTCTTGGAAAAATGTCTGTCTGTGTTTCCTGCCCATTTTTAAATTGGATTATTTATTTTTGGGTGTTGAGTTGTATCAGTTCTTTATATATTTTGGATACTGACCCTTTATTGCACATGTTATTTGCAAATATCTTCCCCCATTCTGTAGGTTGCCTTTTAGTTTTGTTGATTCTTTCCTTTGCAGTGCAGAGACTTTTTATTTTGATTATTTTTGCTTTTGCTTCTTTTGCCTCAGGAGACGTGTCGAGAAAACAGTTGCTATGCACTGAATTGTGTTTTAGCTGTGTGAGCACGGACAGGCTGGCTGACTCCGGTTGTCATCCATGACACAGGAAAACGGTGGTGTAGGCCATCTCGCAGCACCGTGATAGGTTTAGATGGGACCAGCAACCGAGGCCCTTAGCTCTGTGCCTGGTACCCTGCAGACATGGGAAGGGGAGGGGGGTGCAGCTGTTGGCTTTTCTGGCTCTGGGTGGAGCCACACTGAGGCGTCCCTTGTGCAAGGCAGTGGGTGCCTCTTCAGCCTCTTCCTTCCTACTGGCTTGTGCCTTCCACCTCGGTCTCCCTCCCTGGCCATCATCTTAATGTTTAGGCTGCTATGACAAAATATCGGAACAACAGGAATTTATTTTGCACGGTTCAGGAGGGTAGAGGGTACCAGCATGGTGGGGTTAGGGCTGGTCTATTCCTGGGTTGCAGACAGCCGCCTTCTCTGTGCCCTCCTGTGGTGGGAGAGGCGAGGGAGCTCTGTGAGTCCCTTGTGAGGGCACCGGTCCCATTCGGGGGCTCCATGTTCATGAGCTCATCACCGCCCACAGTCCCACCTCCTAGCACCATCACACTGGGGGCTAGGATTCCAGCATATGAATTTGAGGAGACACATTTAGGCCATAGTGATTTCAATGCTCTCCCTTTAGGAAGCACTATCGTGTGGTGCTTCCTTGCCTGGACTCCAGGACCTCTGTCTGGGCTCACCTCATTGGCCACGGACCTTCTGTGTGGTCCTGGGCAAGCTCCGTAATTGCTCTTTGCCTCGGTTTCCTCGTCTGTGAAGATGGAATGATAATAGTACCCACTTTATCAAGGGCTTGTGGAGATCAAGTGATGTGTGTGCAAAGTGCTGTTTTGTTTTTTTTTTAAGATTTTATTTATTTATTTGACAGAGAGAGAGGCAGCGAGAGAGGGAACACAAGCAGGGGGAGTGGGAGAGGGAGAAGCAGGCTCCCCGCTGAGCAGGGGGCCCGACACGGGGCTCGATCCCAGAACCCTGGGATCACGACCTGAGCCGAAGGCAGACGCTCAACGACCGAGCCACCCGGGCGCCCCTTCACTACTGTTTTATAGCCTGATGTCCTGAAGCCGTTATCCAGATGAGCTAACTCGTAAGGACTTAAAAAATACCCAACTTAGCCACCAAGCCACTGTGACTGCCTAACAAATTAATAACAATCCTTACTGTCATCCAGTAGCCAGTTCGTAGTCCGTTTTCCCTGACTGGGAAGGTCTTTTGCTGTTGATGCGCTTGAATCTGTGTCTACACAGGATCCAGATGTCTCTTAAATCTTTTATTCTGTTGGGCCCGACCTCCCCTCAGCCAGCCTTTTTTCTTCCAAGCATTCCCAAGGACAAGGCCGTACCCCGGGGGCAGGCACGTGCCCAGCACACACTCCGTGTGCACACGCATCTTGGGGGTCCCGGGTGACGGGCACTCCTCGGCTCGGGCGCTGGGCCCCACGTTGCTGCTGCGTAAACCCTGAACGGTGAGGGTTCGCTGGCTCTTCCTGCCGCTTCCCCAGAGACCGGGGTGTGCGGCGGAGGCTTCATTCGACTCAGGCTCAGACTTTTAAGTGGGAGTAACAAGTGTGTTCTTTTTCAACACTGTTTTGACTCTTCCAGGTCCCTTGAGATTCCATATGAACCGTAGGATGGGTTTTTCTGTTTCTGAAAAACACGCCATTAGGATTTCGACAAGAGCTGCAGGCAATCTACAGCCCACTGCGGGCCACGCGGCTATTACAGCCGCATCTCGTCCCCCGAACCATGGACGTGGGGTGTGTCTTTATTTACTTACGTCTTCCAGCTCCCCGAGCAGGGCTTGTACTCGTCACCGTCCAAGTGTTTCACTTCCTTGGTTGAGGTAATTCCTGTGCATTTTCTTCTCTTTGATGCGACTGTTGTGTGATTTCCTTTTCAGATGCTTCATTGTTCATGTACAGAAATGCAGCTGGTTTTTGTGTGTTGTCTCCTGACACTTTGCTACAATCATATATTTGTCCTAAGCAGGCTGTGTGTGTGTGTTATCTTTAAGGCTTGTACATGTAAAATTATATGTGAGATAATTTTACTTCTTCTTTTCCAGTGTGGAATGCCTTTCTCCCCCTTGCTTAATTGCTCTGACCAGAACTTCCAGTACCATGTTGAAGAGAAGTGGTGAAAGCAAGCAGCCTTGCCTTGTTCCTCATCTTAGAGGAAATGCTTTCAGTCTTTCACAATTGAGTATGATGTTTCCTGTGGGTTTTCTTATATGGTTTTTATTATGTGGAGGTGGTTCCCTTCTGTTCCTAGTTTGTTGAGTGTTTTTATCATGAAATTTTGTCAAATGCTTTTCTACATTAATTTGAATTTTGTCCAATGCTTTGCAGACCTACATCAGGTTGAGATGATCATGTGGTTTCCCCTCCATTCTGTTGATGTGGCATATTACACTGATCAGTTTTCATGTATTGACCCACACTTGCATTCCAGGAATAAATCCCACTTGGTTGCGGTATATAATCCTTGTAACGTGCTGCTGAATTCTGTTTGCTAGTATTTGGTTGAGGATTTTTGCATCCATGTTCATCATGGATGTTGGTCTACAGTTTTCTTTTCTTACAGTGTCTCTGTCTGACTTCCCCACAGAATGAGTTGGGAAGTTTCTCTCCCGTTCAATTTTTGGGTAACGTTTGGGAAGGACTGGTGTTAATTCTTCTTTAAATGTTTGGTAGAATTCACCTGTGAAACCGTCAGGTCCAGGGCTTTGCTCTTTGGGAGATTTTTGATTACTGATTCAGTCTCCTTACTAGTCGTAGGTCTAGTCAGACTTTCTGTGTCTCTGTGATGTAGTCTTGGTAGGTTCTGTGTTTCCAGGAATTTGTCCACTTATCTAAGTTATTTGTTGGTGTACAACTCTTCACAGTACTCTGACAATCCTTTTTATTTCTGTATTACCGGTAATAATGTTCCCACGTCATTTCTGACTTTAGTAATCAGAGTCTTCTCTCTTTTTATTCTTAGCCCCTATAGCTAAAGGTTTGTCAACTTTGATGATCTTTTCAAAGGAGCAGCTTTTTGTTTCATGGATTTTCTCTATTGTTTTCCCATTCTCTATTTTGTTTATCTACACTCTCATCTTTATTATTTCCTTCCTTCCACTAGCTTTGGGTGTAGTCTGTTCTTTTCTTCCTAGTTCATTAAGTAGTAAACTCAGATTGTTGATTTGAAATCTTTTCTATTTTTAAATATGTTTATAGCTATAAATTTCCCCTAACTCTTAGCATTGCTTTCACTGCATTCCATAGTTTTGTTGTGTTGAAGATTTTTCATCATTTGTTTCTAAGTATTTTCTAATTTTCTTGTGATTTCTTCTTTGATCAATTGATGTAAGAGTATGTTACTTAATTTCCACAAATTTGTGAATGTTCCAGTTTTCCTTCTGTTCCTGATTTTTTTTTTTTAAGATTTTATTTATTTATTTGAGAGAGAGAATGAGAGAGAGCACATGAGAGGGGGGAGGGTCAGAGGCAGAAGCAGGCTCCCTGCCGAGCAGGGAGCCCGATGCGCGACTTGATCCCGGGACTCCAGGATCATGACCTGAGCCGAAGGCAGTCGCTTAACCGACTGAGCCACCCAGGCGCCCTCTGTTCCTGATTTCTATCTTCATCCTGTTGTGGCCAGAGAAGACACTTTGTATGATATCAACCTTTTAAAAACTACGGAGACTGGGATGCCTGGGTGGCTCAGTCAGTTAAGCGCCCACCTTTGGCTCAGGTCAGGGATCGAGTCCCGCGTCGGGCTCCCCGCTCAGCGGAGAGTCTGCTTCTCCCTCTGCCTCTGCTCCTCCCCCTGCTTGTGCACTCGCTCTAGCTCTCTCTCGGACAAATAAATAAATAAAAACTACTGAGACTTACCACGTGGTCTCACACATGGTCTGTCCCGGAAACTGTCCGGAGTGCCCGTGAGAACGCGTGTGGGGTTGTCGCTGGGTGGGTGCTCTGTGTGTCTGCTGCGTCTGGCTGGCTGCTTGGGGTTAGTCCTCTGGTCCCTTATTATCTTCAGTCTGGCTGTTCATCCACTATTGAGAGTGGGGGACTGACATCTCCAACTGTTCCTGTACCTCTGGTTATTTCTCCTTTCAATTCCGTCAGCTTTTGCTTCATATAGTTTGATGGTCTGTCATTGGGTGTGTGAATGTTTATAATTGTTATATTCTCTTTTACTGAAATGTTATTAATATATACTGTCCTTTGTCTCTTGTAACCATTTTTGAATTTAAGTCTATTTTTTCTGATGTGAGTGTAGCCACCCGTGCTCTCCTCTGGTCACTATTTGCATGGAGTATGTTTTTCCATCCCTTCATTTTCAATCTATTTGTGTCTGGATCTCAAGTGAGTCTCTTGTAGACAACCTGTGATTGGATCTTGTGTTTTTATCTATTCTGCCAATCTCTGTCTTTTGATTGGAGAGTTTAATCCATTTATATGTAAGTAATTACTGATAAGGAGGGAGTCTTATCTAGTTCTCTGAGCATCTTTAAAGCAGTTGTTTTAGTCTTTGTCTAGTATGTTTGCCATTAGACTTTTTTCAAGAGGCAGTTCCTACTGATTTACTTTTTTCCTTTGAATGGGCCATACTTTCCTCTGTCTTTGTATGCCTTGCAATTTTTTGTTGAGCACTGGACATTTGAATGTAATAATGTGGTAACTCTGAAAATCAGATTCTCCCCCTTCCCCAAGGTTTATGTTTTTTCTTTTTTTATTAAATAGACTCCATGCCCAGTGGAGCCCTACACAGGGCTTGGACTCATGATCCTGAGATCAAGACCTGAGCTGAGATCAAGAGTCAGAGGCTTAATTGACTGAGTCACTCAGGCACCCTTTTGTTTTTTCTTTGATTGCCATAGGCTGTTTCTGTGCTGAGGATCAGTCTGAGGGTAACTTAAGGTCTTCCTAGGTCTTTTTCCCTGGACATGGTCACTTTCTAATTTCCCTTATATATGCAGTTGCTTTTGAATGTCCTTGTCTTTAATATTTAGCTCCCCAAAGAGGAAAAAAGTGAGAAATATAGGGGGAGTGGGGAGAAAAGTGTGCTCTCCCTTTAAATTCCCTGGAAGTTACTTCAGCTGGAGGGGAACAGTGGTGGGCAATTACAATGGTGCCCATCTCTGTCTGCACTTCTGTTATTAGAAGCAGCAGTCAGCTGTCACAGAACAAATCCCCAGTATTTCGAGGACAGGGTCTCTTTGCCCACCTTGGTTCCTGCTAGCGGTGTTCCAGCCGCTCCCGAAACATGTTCGCGGTGGCAGGCCATGGGGATGGGGGTGGGGCTGGGGGATGCGTATGGGTAGCTGCTACTTTACTGAGAGCTGAAAATGACCCAAATGAGCCACCATTTGCCATCCAAGCCTTCCCCGGGGCTTGCAAGCCTTCAGTATATTCAGGGTCAGACACATTTTGCCCCTGCATCCTTCGCCCAGATCGGGAGACAGGTTCTCCCCTCACAGATGCGTCCCACCCTGGCATCGTCCCCTTGTCTTTTGACTCCTTGCTTTATCCTTAATGTGAGCGCGTGATGTAAAGGGTGTTTGTTTCTACATGGCCTCTGAGGAACGCAGGCTGGCAGCCCACTGCTGGAAAGTGCGGTATTGTGAAGTATCTCAGTTGTGCCCCGAGATGACATGTCCAGAGATCCACAGGGAACATCTGCTAAGAACGTCTCTCCGACGAGTCTCTCCTCTTAGTGAACACCCCGAGTCTGTTCAGCAGGACACACCCAAGGTATTGGCTGAGAATCTACTCCCTGTTGGGGGAAAAGGGGTCACAAGCAGCTATTTTCACTTCTTCCTCCCCTAGGTCAAGGGTCAAGGCGACCTCTGGGGATTTACATGTGTTCTGGAGAGAGGAACGGGTCCAAGGAGGTGAGCAACAATAGAGGGCAGAGGGGTCTGAGATCAAGCTCACGGGGAGGGGTGTCAGGGGCCAGAGGAGCACCATCTTAAAAGAGATGGGGAAGGAGCATCGCCTCTCTAGTGGGGGGAGGGGTAGTGGGTGGGGGTGGGGGGTGGGTGTCAAACCTCCTGTTGCTGAGAGGGAGAGGACAGAGAGCAAGGAGCGTGGACCCCGGGTGCAGCGGCGCAGAGCAGAGAGGGGACTCCCGTGTGGAGGGGGACACTGGGAACAGGAAATGGGGAGAATCCTTTCTAGGTGTGTGGCTGGAAGCGGGCACAGGAGCTGGAGGACCTGAAGGGGAAGGGGAGGCCAAGAGAAGCATCCCCCAAGATAGGCGGGGAGACATTGGCTGCTGAGAATGACCAAGTGGGGGACGAGAGAGGGGAGACAATGTGCAGGGTCGGCCCTGGATGTGTGTAAGGCTGGTGTGCTGTCCTGCTCAAGCTTCTAAGGGGTGTGATGGTTCATCAGCGGGAGGTCTGAGCACTCAGGGATCCAAGACGCCCCTCAGAGAGAGCGGATGGGAGATGTGTGAGGGGGAAGATGTAACCTTGAGAAGCAGAGAGGCAGAGGTGAGAGGGGCCTCTGTGTGTGAGTGACCAAGAATCAGCAGGAGCACTGAGGGGGCGGTGGACAGGAGGGGGTGCCGGGGAAGTGCAGTGTGGACGGTGGGGGGGGGAGGGAGGGCAGTGGGCAGGAGGGTGGGGGGAGGGGGAGTGCAGGAGGGCGGTGGACAGGAGGGGGAGAGGTGGGGGGGGAGGGCAGTGGACAGGAGGGGGGAGGGAGTAGTTGTTGGATCTGATTCTGCATGTGTCCAAGCAGGAGGAAGAATGTTCTGGAAGGGTCCCAAGGAACAGAGAGCAGGCTTCTCCCGTCTCCTGGTCTTTCTCTGAAGGGCCAGCCCAGCCCCAGGGCCCACATGGGATCTGTGCTGGTGGGCGAGGCTGGGACCCCTGAGCTCAGACAAGGGCCGGGGCTGATGAACAGTGAGCCCTCAGGGCATCTCTATGAGGCCAGGGGGCTCCGCGGTCAGTGGCCAGGGGTGGGGACCAGCTACAAGCAGCCACATGTGCTCCTGTGAACTCCCCACCAGTCCCACCAGCAGCAGTGTGCTGTGTGTGTGTGGGTCTGAACACCTTCACACCATCCGGAGGCTGCTGAGTGCCCTTCTGGCAATCTCGGGCATGCCCTCCATGCAGGGGAGACCCTACTCGGGAGTGGGAGGGTGGCCCTCCCAGCGCCCTGCCAGGAACTGCGAGGCGAGGGCCCCTGATGTCAGGAAACAGTCTTTATTCAAGTGCAGGGAGATGGGTCATGTGACAATGCCAAGGTGAGATGTCCGAGCCTGCTCTCCTTTATCCACCTGACCTGCGTGACCTGTCCAGGGCAGCCTCGGCCTGCGGGGCAGGCGGGGGTGTGAGTGCCTGTAGCCCGGGGACAGCAGGTCTGAGGTGTTTCATATCCGCTGTCCTGGGGCTCCTGGGCCTGGGGTGCGTGGCCCTCCTGCAGGTGGCCCCGTGGGCGCTGTGGGCACACCGTCTGCACGCAGACAACCCCCGACCAGCAGGAAGTGGATTTATGGCAGAGACTTGTAACCTCGGGGCTGAACTCACCCATGAGAGTGGGTCCCAGGACCGGGCGCCCGAGAGGAAAGCTTGCTGAAAGGAGACGCCTCTCCCCACATCCTGCTGCCTCCAGCAGCCGAAGGTACGTCTGCGCGGAGGGGTCGGTCAGCGTTGGAGCTCAGAGGCCTGCTGGACAAAGCCCCCCTTGGCCCGCTGAACCACCGGGCGTGGCCCCCACGCAGGGTGGAGGGCCCGCAGGGCTCTGGCCTCAGACACAGTTGTCCGGGATGCACTCGGCCTGCTCTTCGAGCTCCGGGCAGGGTGCCCCGTGGTTGGCAGGCTGCACGCGGACGTAGCGAGTCCTGCTCTTGGCTCCCAGCTTCCCACACGGACCTGCACACAGCCCCCAGGATGACCACAGAGAGACCTCGCAATCCAGCGGAGTTTCTGGAACTGAACCAAGCACGAGAGGCCTGTGAGCATGTGTGCATTCCTTGTGCGAGACAGGCCCACACATCCGAGTCGGGAGGGGGCGCTGGATTTATCAGTGCACTTTAGAGCCGGCTGCAAGACCACCAGTCACACCTCTTGCCAACACCCCACCGAGACGCCTGGAGGGAACATTGCCACGCTTTGATCCCCTGCATCTCCTGCCTCAGGGACCCTGGGAGGCCAGCTCTGGCAGTGGGGAGTGGGAGCACAAGGCCCCTGGAGGCAGGGAAGGATCCGCTGCTGAGAAACCCACTCTGATGCAGCCGTGCTCGCAGCGGGCTCTGTGTTTCAGTGGGAGCGCCCCCACGCCGGCTCATGGCAGGGTGGGGTGGGGGGCACAGAGGGATCCGTTCAGTGGTGTCCTGCCCGTCGGCCATGACACGGGCCACACGCGGGGATGCCACTGACAGGGGCCTGGTTTACCACTCACTTCTGGGCAAATGGACAAGAGCTAACTGGTCAGTCAGCCAAATCCCAAATCTCTCCGAACCCCCATCATCCTGCACCAAGTGCTCTGAACCCCCAGGACCCCATCATTCTGCGAGAGGACACATCACACTCAGGAGCCTGGCTTTGGACGGAGCACCTTCCCCAGCTCTGCCACCTCGGCTCAACGTGGGACTCCCCTGGGAGACACCGCCTGGTCCCTGGACCACTGGCCCTCGTGGGGAGCAGGTGACCAGTGTGGCCTTGGAAAGTGGAGCGTGTTGAGGTGTCACTGACACTTCAAAGACGGTCCCTTTGGGGCAGTTTCTGGCCCCGAGTGTCCTTTCCTGCTTCAACGTGGTGGCCACTCACCGTTGAGGATTTTTGTAAGGGTGGGACAGAAGGGCCTCACACACGGGGGTCAGTATTGACAGCTGCCCTGTCACGGGTTCCTGTGTGGCCCGCAAACCTGGGTGGCGCTTCTATCCCCTGCCGCCCGCGGGGCGTCAGGGCTCCCCCCCCACCGCGGGGCGGGGCGCCAAGCGCGCCGCCCGGATGGCGGTGGAGCGGGCGGGGGGGGGGGGGGGGAGCCTGCAGTGTCCTGGCGGAGGGGTGGCAACGCGCTCACCTGAGAGGCTGTCCACGATCTCATTGCCCCCGCCGGCGCCCGCGGGGCCTGGGGCGGGCGGGACGAAGGCCCTGGGGTTCTGCCGGAGTCGCACCAGGGTCACTCTGGCGATGGGGGGCAGGGACTTCAGCCGGGGGTAGTAGAAGGAGTTTGCGGGGTGGCTGGGAGAGGAGGAGGTTATCTGCGGAGAGAGCAGCGGTGTGGGCGGCGGCGGCAGAGGACACCCAGCCGCCTGTGTGCGCTTGCGGGAGGTGGGGCCGTGCGGTGGGGCCTGGGGGTGTGGTCTAGGGCTGCGGCCTCGGGTGAGGCCTGGGGGTGTGGTCTAGGGCTGCGGCCTCGGGTGGGGCCTCGGGGTGTGGTCTAGGGCTGCGGCCTCGGGTGGGGCCTGGGGGTGTGGTCTAGGGGTGGGGCCTCGGGGTGTGGTCTAGGGCTGCGGCCTCGGCTGGGGCCTCGGGGTGTGGTCTAGGGGTGGGGCCTGGGGGTGTGGTCTAGGGCTGCGGCCTCGGCTGGGGCCTCGGGGTGTGGTCTAGGGGTGGGGCCTGGGGGTGTGGTCTAGGGCTGCGGCCTCGGGTGGGGCCTCGGGGTGTGGTCTAGGGGTGGGGCCTGGGGGTGTGGTCTAGGGCTGCGGCCTCGGGTGGGGCCTCGGGGTGTGGTCTAGGGGTGGGGCCTGGGGGTGTGGTCTAGGGCTGCGGCCTCGGGTGGGGCCTGGGGGTGTGGTCTAGGGCTGCGGCCTCGGGTGGGGCCTCGGGGTGTGGTCTAGGGCTGCGGCCTCGGGTGGGGCCTGGGGGTGTGGTCTAGGGGTGGGGCCTCGGGGTGTGGTCTAGGGCTGCGGCCTCGGCTGGGGCCTCGGGGTGTGGTCTAGGGGTGGGGCCTGGGGGTGTGGTCTAGGGCTGCGGCCTCGGCTGGGGCCTCGGGGTGTGGTCTAGGGGTGGGGCCTGGGGGTGTGGTCTAGGGCTGCGGCCTCGGGTGGGGCCTGGGGGTGTGGTCTAGGGGTGGGGCCTCGGGGTGTGGTCTAGGGCTGCGGCCTCGGCTGGGGCCTCGGGGTGTGGTCTAGGGGTGGGGCCTGGGGGTGTGGTCTAGGGCTGCGGCCTCGGGTGGGGCCTCGGGGTGTGGTCTAGGGGTGGGGCCTGGGGGTGTGGTCTAGGGCTGCGGCCTCGGGTGGGGCCTCGGGGTGTGGTCTAGGGGTGGGGCCTGGGGGTGTGGTCTAGGGCTGCGGCCTCGGGTGGGGCCTGGGGGTGTGGTCTAGGGCTGCGGCCTCGGGTGGGGCCTCGGGGTGTGGTCTAGGGGTGGGGCCTGGGGGTGTGGTCTAGGGCTGCGGCCTCGGGTGGGGCCTCGGGGTGTGGTCTAGGGCTGCGGCCTCGGCTGGGGCCTCGGGGTGTGGTCTAGGGGTGGGGCCTGGGGGTGTGGTCTAGGGCTGCGGCCTCGGGTGGGGCCTGGGGGTGTGGTCTAGGGCTGCGGCCTCGGGTGGGGCCTGGGGGTGTGGTCTAGGGCTGCGGCCTCGGGTGGGGCCTCGGGGTGTGGTCTAGGGGTGGGGCCTGGGGGTGTGGTCTAGGGCTGCGGCCTCGGGTGGGGCTTCGGGGTGTGGTCTAGGGGTGGGGCCTGGGGGTGTGGTCTAGGGCTGCGGCCTCGGCTGGGGCCTCGGGGTGTGGTCTAGGGCTGCGGCCTCAGGTGGGGCCTCGGGGTGTGGTCTAGGGGTGGGGCCTGGGGGTGTGGTCTAGGGCTGCGGCCTCGGGTGGGGCCTGGGGGTGTGGTCTAGGGCTGCGGCCTCGGGTGGGGCCTGGGGGTGTGGTCTAGGGCTGCGGCCTCGGGTGGGGCCTCGGGGTGTGGTCTAGGGGTGGGGCCTGGGGGTGTGGTCTAGGGCTGCGGCCTCGGGTGGGGCTTCGGGGTGTGGTCTAGGGGTGGGGCCTGGGGGTGTGGTCTAGGGCTGCGGCCTCGGGTGGGGCCTCGGGGTGTGGTCTAGGGGTGGGGCCTGGGGGTGTGGTCTAGGGCTGCGGCCTCGGGTGGGGCCTCGGGGTGTGGTCTAGGGGTGGGGCCTGGGGGTGTGGTCTAGGGCTGCGGCCTCGGCTGGGGCCTCGGGGTGTGGTCTAGGGGTGGGGCCTGGGGGTGTGGTCTAGGGCTGCGGCCTCGGGTGGGGCCTCGGGGTGTGGTCTAGGGGTGGGGCCTGGGGGTGTGGTCTAGGGCTGCGGCCTCGGGTGGGGCCTGGGGGTGTGGTCTAGGGGTGGGGCCTGGGGGTGTGGTCTAGGGCTGCGGCCTCGGGTGGGGCCTGGGGGTGTGGTCTAGGGCTGCGGCCTCGGGTGAGGCCTGGGGGTGTGGTCTAGGGCTGCGGCCTCGGGTGGGGCCTCGGGGTGTGGTCTAGGGCTGCGGCCTCGGGTGGGGCCTGGGGGTGTGGTCTAGGGGTGGGGCCTGGGGGTGTGGTCTAGGGCTGCGGCCTCGGGTGGGGCCTGGGGGTGTGGTCTAGGGCTGCGGCCTCGGGTGAGGCCTGGGGGTGTGGTCTAGGGCTGCGGCCTCGGGTGGGGCCTCGGGGTGTGGTCTAGGGCTGCGGCCTCGGGTGGGGCCTGGGGGTGTGGTCTAGGGGTGGGGCCTGGGGGTGTGGTCTAGGGCTGCGGCCTCGGGTGGGGCCTGGGGGTGTGGTCTAGGGCTGCGGCCTCGGGTGAGGCCTGGGGGTGTGGTCTAGGGCTGCGGCCTCGGGTGGGGCCTGGGGGTGTGGTCTAGGGCTGCGGCCTCGGGTGGGGCCTCGGGGTGTGGTCTAGGGGTGGGGCCTGGGGGTGTGGTCTAGGGCTGCGGCCTCAGGGTAGGGTCTCGGGATGGGGCTTCGGGGTGGGGCCGCAGGGTGGAGCCTCGGGGCGGGGCCGCGGGGTGGGGCCGGGCAGTTCAGGACTCCCCACCCCCCAGGCTCCCGCAGGCTCCGAGGGTGCGCGGCCCAAGGTCTGGGAAACAGAGCAGGAAGGGTCAGGCCTCTGGGTGGCGGCCTGGGCCCTCCTCCCCGAAGAGCAGCCGCCTGCAGACTGGCGTCTTGTGGTCAGGGATGAGGCTGCGCACTGGCCCAAGAGCCACCTGGTGGAGGGCTCTCGTCCCCCACCTCCGTCACCCCCTCACCTCCGTCACCCCCTCACCTCCGTCACCGTGTCCTGCGGGATGGTCGCGAAGTTGGGGGAGGAGAAGGTAAAGCCGCTGTCGGTCCCGGCGTCGTAGGGGTAAAGGTCCACAGCAACCTGCTCCCTCCAGCGGTCCCCATCGCACAGGTCCAGGCTGTCCACGCCCACAAACCAGTCTGGACTGGGGACGATGCGGACCACAAAGGACACCTGGGGGGAGGGCGGGTGCTCAGCCCGGCAGCCGGCGGCCCAGCCCCTTCCCCCCACCAATGCCTGGGCTCACCAGCGAGTGCCTCGAGTGGACCTCCAGCTCCGCGGACGTCTGCCCGGTGCCACTGGGCAAGGCGGGCGCCGAGAACACCTCGTGCACGCTCTGCAGCTTCTCCCCGGCAGCCTCCATCTCCCGCATCAGGGCCCAGGCCTCGCCCCGCTCAGCAAAGTCCCTGAGCCCGTCGCTGACGTACTGGTTCTTCCTCCACAAGCTGTAGTCGGAGCTGTGCGCTGCCCCTGCGCGCGAGGCCGGAGTGTGAGCCGCCGCGCGAGGGAGCGCGCATCCCCTGCGCCCCGGGGGCAGGGCCCAAGCACAGCAGGACGTGCTCCGCAGATATTTCTGGCGCTGCAGGAAAGTGGGATGAGCGTGCCCACCCTGCACACTGGGAAGTGTGGTGGAGCGCTTGAGGGGGGTGGTCACTGCCGGACCGGAGGGACCCGGCAGCGGGGCTGTACTTACCCAGCAGGGAGGACCACTGTGCGGGGGGTCGGAACAGGGGGTACTGCTTGGGGAAGGCTGTCTGGCTCCACTTGCCCGTGAAGGTGATGCTGTACTTGGCCAGGGGCTGGGCGGTGCAGACAGACTCTCCCCCCAGCGGCTGGCTGGCCACAGAGCCAAGTGTGGTCAGGAGGAGGGCCCAGAGGGCCCTGCCCCAGGTGGTGGTGTGACTTGGGGCTCCCATGACCTAGGAGCAGAGGGAGAGCTCCACCAGCTGGCACCCCTGGTCCTTGGGGGGGGAGGGGCAGGGGCCTCCCGGAGTGCGGCGCCCCCCCCACATCCCTTTGCACTCCCACCTCCATCAGGCTCAGGGGGACCCCTGGCCTGCCCCCAAAAGCCAAGCCGTGTCAGGTTACACTTGGATCCCAAGCCCAGCAGATTCGGAGCCCTGGCTTGGTCTCAGCCGTGCCCGGGGCAGCATCCCTGAGTCCCAGGAACCTGGAGGGTACACTTCAGCCTCGCTGTGCTCGGGATGACACGAGCAAACGCAGGCCTCCCTCTTGGGGTGCTGCAGGCTGCTGGGCCCGGGAAAGGGCGAGGAGGCCCAGCGCCTCCAGATGGGGACAGGGGCGCACACGCGTACTCACCCAGCAGGAGCGGCAGGAGGGCTGGCAGCTGGGCTGTGGGCGGCAGATGGTCCCCGAGGGAGCCCAGAGCTCCAATTTACGCCCAGGACAGCCCCCCGGCCGGCCACGGCCGCTGCAGAGAGCCGAAGCTCGGACGGGGAGAGGGAGAGAAGGGGCGCCTCCAGTGCGGTCCGCCCTCGCTCTGCGAGCAGATGCTTCTCTGGCGCTGAGGTCACTCTCCTCCCTCGGGCGCCTGCCACTTGCCGCACCCCTTTCTTTGTCTTTCCCTCCCGCCTCCCCGCCCTCGGCTCCTCTCCCTGCCGCTCCCCCTTCCCAACAAACCCGTCTTAGTGTCTCCCAGGAGGTACTGTCGCAGTCTCAGCTGGGAGGGGAGCTGGGCTGGGGAGCGCCAGCGTGTTACACCCTCCGGACAGGGTGGGACCCCAGGGGCCACATTCCTGGCCTGACGCTAGTCCAAGTGTTGGAGAGGAGCTGGAGAAGTGGGGGCTCCCAGTTCAGGCATCCCTGGCCTTGAGGAGCTGGGTTTTGGCACACACAGCCTGTCAGCGTGCACAGAGCCGCCGTCCACAGGGCTGGCCAGGGCATCCCTAGAGGGGAGCCAGAACCACTCGGGTAGAGTTGTCCCAGCTCCAGAAAGGCTCACTGGGGCAGGGAGGTGGCCCAGGGCCCCCGCCCCACTTCCCGCCGTGGGGTAGAGCTCCACGGACACCTGGCACGCAGGGGGACATGACCAAAGCTGGTCACTGCTCACGGTCAGGAAAATATTTCTAGAACCTAATCATGGGGTCTGGGAACAGAAAGGAAGCTCTTACTTATCAGAACTGCCCAGGGAGCTTTCAAGCTTAAACAGAAAGCATTATGATTTTTGGAACTGTTAACATTCCAGAGGCGGTTGGGGGGGTGGGGCGGGAGGAGAGGGACAGAATAAATAGAATCAACAGGAATAGAACGCACACAAAAACGAATGACCCCACAGGCCGCAAGAGCAGCCTGCCTGCATAGCCATATAGATGGCAGGTCCTCAGGCTGAGCACATCCTCACTCGGGGTTTTCAAACTTTTTGGTCTCAGGACCCCCGACACCCTTAGAAATCACTGAGAGCCCCAAAGAGCTTTCGTGTGTGTGGGTTACAGCTGTCAATACTTACCGTATTTGAAATCCTAACAGAAACGTTCAGAATACGTATTAACTCACTTACAAATGAAAATACGTTCACATAAATAGCATAATGTTTCATGAAAAACAACTATATTTTTCAAAAAAGAGTGGTCTGGTTCTACATTTGTGCAGATCTCTCTCTGCCTGGCTTTGTGGGCCGAGAGCTGGGCCTCCACATGTGATCCCACGGCGGGCGGGAGGTGCGGTGCTGGTCCACCCCCAGCAAGGACAGGCCTTGCGGCCTCTGGAAAAGTCCCGCACCTGTGGGAGAGAACGTGAGCAGAAAAGGCAGGCGCTCTCTGTGCACCTGTGTCTTGTTCTCCTTGAGAAGCCGTGGCTTTCTGGGGGGAGAGAAAGCAGGAGATGGGCCCAGGGCTGAGTTGCAGCCGGCTCTCCTGCTGTGATTTGCTCATGCACTGTCCAGTGGTGGCCGCGGCCTCAGGCTTGCCCCAGTTTACAGGGGGCTCTGGTCCCAGCACCCGGACACCCCTGTGGAAAGCCTCTGCAGCTCAAGGATCCTGGGGAGGGGAGGCGTGATGTGAGGCCACTGGAGCTCCAGGCCTAGAGCTCTCGGGCAGGGCCCCGGCTTCCTTGCCGGGGCTCCCCTGGGAGGCGCTCCACTTCCTTTGGTGGACGGCCCCCCAAGGGCATGCCTGATGGGATTCTTGGGACACAGTGGGACCTGGGAAGGGGCACAGAAGGAGGCCAGGATAGGCGACCTGTGGCCCCCTGGCCTGGGTTGGGCCTCAGGTGGGGACCCGGCCAGTAGGGAGTCCGCTCAGCTGCAGACATAGTTCTGCCAGGTCCTGCCTCCCTTCGAGAATCACAGAATCGTGATTTGAGGAGCACTTTTCCATGGAGACCCCCACCGACGGAGGTCCCGCCCCCCCCCCCCCCCCCCCCCACCAAGGGAAAGCCATCCGTTCATTAACCCTGGATAAGTACCTCCAGCGTCTCAGTGCTGGGGACCCAGAAGTGAGCCTGACCACCAAGCCCTGCTCCCCCGGATGTGGGGGAGGGGCTGGGCAGACAGGATACATTCTGTAGACTGGATTCTATTATTCAGCGAGTGCTTCGTTAATTGCTTGACCCTAATTCCAGGGTCCCTTCCTGGAAGTCACTTCTTGATCAGTCACTCCTCAGCTGGTTTCAGGGCAATGGGGCTCAGGACTGTGGTTGCCGGTCAGGCCTCCACACCCCTACGCTCCCTGTCTACACCCCTATACCGCCTGTCTGCACCCCCACCCTCCCTGTCTGCACCCCCACCCTCCTTGTCTGCCATGCTCTCTGCACCCCTACCCTCCTGCACCCCCTGTGCTCTCTGTGACCCTCATTGCCCCAGTGGCAGAGCAGTCCTGTCTGCCCCTCCACTCTAAATGGCTGCAGCAGGCACCCCTCAAATTAGTACCGAGTACAGGAGGAGTACTTGATGGGCCGACCTCCTTGCTGTGGTTGAGCAGCTGTGAAGTCCTTTCCATCTAGTGTGAGGGGTGGGGTTTGTGGGCTCACACTGGCCCTTGAGGGCTGTGTGGGATTTCCAGAAGTCTGTTTGTGGGTTGCTGAGAATAGGCCTGGCAGGCAAGGGAGTGCTGGGTGAGCTCTGTGTCCTCATCCTCTGCCCCCCTGGGCTGTGTCCCTGTCCCCGGGTCCCAGAGCCCAGGATGCCCCTGCGGGGTGCTGGGGGCCCTTGAGGTCTGGTGTAACAAGGGTCCTTTCAGAGCCCTCACCCGGGGACAGGCTGTCTCAGGCGCTGGTGTCTGGCTCCCCTGGGGGATCCCGCCAGTCACACAGGCGCACATTTGTCTGCTCATTTGCCCACTCACCAGACATTGACCAAGGGCCCCGTTCCTGCCAGACACCACAGACTCTTTCCACACCCTTTCCAATGGCCGCCTCCTGAAGGGCTGAATATTCTAGCAACACCCCGGCAGTCCAGGGGTTCTCTCCGCCCTACTGCCCCAGCACCCTTCCCTATGCCCAGACACTTCCCACCTGTTCCGCCCCAGGGCCTTTGCACTGGCAGCTCCCTGTACCTCCCCGTGTGTCAGTCTCAGGGAGCACCTCCTGACTGCTTGGCCCAGAGGAGCCCCGTCTGCCCTGACTTGTCATGGCTTTGTTTTCAGTCAGGGCTCCTGAAGAGCGAGTCTGACTGACGTAAGCAGGGTGTGGCTTCCAGAACCGTTAAGAAGGCTGTTGCTGGCTTCCAAGAATGACTTCCAGGACTGTGCACAGCATGGTTGTTGACCAGTGGCTGGCCCCACCTGCCTCGTCGCACCCACTGAGCTCTGCTCTGGATCCGGGTTTCTCCGAGCCCTTCTGGTATGTGGAGCCCGAACTGGTCTGGGAATCCTGAGCCCCGGGTTTAGCTTTGCGGCCTCTGCAGTCCAGGAAGGCACGAGAAGGGTCAGTGCTAGCCCGCTGAGCCCCACACCCACAGCTCCGCGCCTGCCCTTCTGTCTTGTGGAGCCAACGCCCAGTGGGGGCCTTGCCCAGTGGGCTCCCCCCTGCAAGCAGCCCCCTGTGACCACGCCCGACTTGCAGAGGGGCCCTCTAGCCCAGGACTCTCAGCAGGCATCACAGCCACACTGCTGGGCCCACTTTGTCGAGGGGGTGGGGCCACGGCGGCTGAGGGGCAGGTCTGGGAGGAGACCCGCTTCCATCTGGCTATAGATACAGATTTTACCTGCTCTGGGGTACGTCTGCCTCCCATGAACACGGGCCTCTGCTCTCAGCGTTTGCCATGGTGTCTTCATCCAAATTCAGATGACAGAGTGAGGACCTCTGGAAATGCTCTCCTTTGTAAAAGCAGTGAGAAAACAGGCAAAAATGGCTGGCACGGACCTTTTCAGCACCAGGAAATTAACCAAGCTGTAGCAGGCTTTGGAGCGTTTTTTTTGTTGTTGTTCTAACCCAGAAAATTGGCTGCATCTTGGTAAGAATAGCAAGCCATAAGATGTTTTGTTTGTTACCATCTTGACCATTTTTAAGTGCACAGCTCAGTGGTATTGCACACGTTCACATTGCTGAATGGCCATCACCACCGTCCATCCCAGGACTCACTCCTCTTGTGAATCTCAACCTCGGTGTCCATCCAGGAACAAGTCCCCATTCCCGCTGCTCCCAGCCCCTGGCAGCCCTGTCTCTGTGATTTTGGCTACTCTAAGTACCTCATCCAAGTGGCATGGCATCCAAGGACATATAGGTCTTGTCCTTCTGTGGCTGGCTCCTTTCACTGAACACGGTGTCCTCAAGGCTCACCATGTGGTGGCAGGTGGCAGATGGTCCTTCCTGTTTCAGGCTGAATACACGATGCACACACACACACACACACGGGTAGTCCATTCATCCGTCAATGGACACCTGGGTTGCTCCCTTGCTTTAGCTGCTGTGAATAATGCTACAGCGAACACGGGTGTGCAAACATCCCTGCTTTCATTTCTTTTGGATGTAGTATACCCAGATATGGAATGGCTGGGCTGTATGGTGGTTCCATGTTTAATATTTTGCAGACCCTCCACACTGTTTTCCACGGCGGCTGCACCATTTCACGTTCCCACCGATGGGGCACAGGGCTCCATTTTCCCCATGTCTTCACTAAGCTACGAGGTGTTTTCACTTGGTCCGTCCCGCACTCTTCAGCTCTCTAGTAGCCTCAACATGAGCAGCCCAAGTTCATGGTGCAAACCAATAGCCAGACGGCCCCTGGACGGAGCCCTTTCAAAACAGCATTCCTAGGAAAGTGTCATGATTTCACCTGTCTCGTGGTTTCCTGGAAGACCCCGTTAGCAAACTTGTCTGCGTTTGACTTGATTCAGAGCTGACCCCGTAGACAAGCCTTTTCCCCAGGGGTGATGGCTGGAAACCATCATAGGCAATTAATGAACTTTGCAGTGGCCTGAGGTGGTGGATAACAGTGGGGACAAACAAGAGACTAACCAAAAGCTGAGAAGGAAAGTCTGAGAGATGGGGTGTCTACAGGGAGCTATGGAAAGCACAGGCGTATTCCTGGAGATCTAGAAGGCCACACAAATTCCTAGGGCAGCACGTGTTCCGGAAAGACCCGAGCTTACC